CAGCGTTTGGATTGACAAAAGCAAGGATGAAAAACTCGACGGTCGAGGAAATTTTAAAGGGTGCACTCGGTCGATGATCCTCGAGCACGTTTGCACGGTGAAAATCAATTATCCGGGGAAATCGTGGAATAGAAGGCAGGAGCAACGATGTTTCGCGAGGGAGAGGGGCGGATGGAACTCGATGGCAAAGTGCTAACATTGCACCCCGTCAGAAGTTCAGGACTTCGGCGGCGGGTTCGTCTTTCAAGTTCATCGAGTTTACGAGACTCCGTGTAGTTCGATTACACGCCCCCAGCCATGACTGTAACGCAATATCTATATCGAAGTAATCAAGCTCACAATATCCCCGATTTAGGCAGGAAATTTCGTCGGCAGACGGGGAGGGAGAGGGTTGCACGCGTCGATTCGAGAATTACACGCTCCTCGCCTCGTTCGAACGCGTCGCAGCCGTACGAATGATTTTCCACGCGTATTTGCACTTTCCTGTCGAAATTTCGCTCAAATTTCTACGGAACGATTGTTGAACGATCGTCGAAAAGAGGGATTGTCTTGGACGATGAGCGAATTCGAATTCGACGATTCGTTTAAATCAATTCGATTCGTTTGGATGGATTGATTTCGTTCGACTCGATCTCTCGTTCCAATTTCTACACTTGGTTTCCGTAAGAAACCATTTTTTGGAAGTTGGAAGAAAAAAAAAAAAAAGAGGGGAAAAAAAAAACGATAGAGCATAAACGGTAACGGTCGATCGAGTAAAGAATAAAAAAATAAAATTACGCGTTAGTACGTTAGCGGATCGATCGATATCGTGCAATTTCTCAATCGAGAAATTTATATATTAATTCTGTAATTGAAATTAAATTCAATTAGAATTTTAATGGTTGCCCATATATAATTTAAATCATTTTCGTAATAAACGATCCTTGTTTGTTTCGAAAATGGAAAAAAAAAAAAATCTTTTTTGCAATTTACTTAAAATAACTTCACAAAATATCCATAAAATATTTTCATATTTTAAATTATACATTCCATTATTATTATTATACATTTCCAAATATAACGAAATAATAACGAACAAATTCGCAAATTTAATTCGCAAATTTTTTTTTTAGAATTACAATAAAGCAACAAAAATTCAGCTAAAAAAAAAAAGAAATAATAATAATAATAATAATTTAAATTAATAATATTCGCCAGGTATATACGGTATATCTTTCTCGGCCACCTTGTAATCACGGATAACGGATTCGTTATTCAATTATCAAAATTAGTTCGTAGCGATATCCGATGGATGGAGTTTCGTTTCTGCCGATTTCTCGAAAGTGAGTACGATAACGGGAGTGCTAATCACGGGGCCGGAAACCGTTGCTCACAATACTAACCTGGCGTAGGGGATACCATGATCAACGAGGTGGTTCCCCCAGGCATGAGGCCACAAGCTGAAGCCTGTAAGTACTCCTAACATGAGTATTTGTGCGTTAAATTTTTGATAGTGTGGGGTTCTTGCGTTAAACGCAAACCCCATGCATAATCTTCCAACGAAATCCGCTCTAGAATTCTTTTAGTCGAAAAAAAACCAAAAAAAAAAAAAAAAAAAAAAACAACATTTTACTTTAAAATTTCATCGAATTTTGTACACTTACGGGGAAAAATTTCGGTCAAAAAAAAAAATCTTAAAAAACGTCCTTCACGATTCGAAATTATACCGATCATCGATTTTCATCGATTTCTTTCCTATTTTTTGCTTAAAAAAATCTACCTTCTTAAAAATCGGATCGTTTAATAATTAATAATAATAATAATAATAATAATAATAATAGTAATAATAATAATAATAATAAGATAATAATAATAATAATAATAATAATAATAATAATAATAATAATAATAATAAGAAAAGAAATACTGGTGAGTAAAATTATACGATATAAAAACCACCAAGCATTCCCGATTATTAATTTCCCATTTCGCAGCGCGAGACTGGATCACAAGTGGAAAGACCCATAGACCCAGTTCATCTCCTTTCATCCTCCTTTCGCCAACAACCACCGCCAATCATCTCCACGAAAACCTCGTCGTCGTCTTCGTCGTCGTCGTCGTCGTCATCGTTCAGAATCCTCAAACCTCCTCCATCCGCCGTCATCGAATCTCACTCCCTTTCACTCCCGAGATCGAGCGAAAAACACGCGACCCACTTCTTCTCCTCCAACACGCCTTCGACGAGGCCTTCTTTAAACTCTCCGACCGCCTCCGACGACAGGCTTGGATTGAAAAGCCGCGGTTTCCGGCGTACGTACGTGTCTCTGCAGCGGGGGCGCGGAGGCAGGCCGTTGAAAGGGTACGAGCCGCGGTTCGCCGGATGGAAGAGGCCGGATGAGAAGTTTTCGCCTGGAGAAAAAGGAGACGAGTGGCGCGCTGCTTCACGCGTCGTCCAACTCACCTAGTTTTCGACGCGGAACAGGCCAGGAATCCTCTCTTGAGACATTGACATTTCTTATTGCGCACAGCTTAACGTAACCCCCCAAGTGTCCCTCGGACAACGGTGGAGAATCGCTCGAGGGTCGAGCGAACAAGAGCGGATCCTAGAGCAGACAATGCTACGCGGCGTTCCGCTCGCTCCGCCCGTTTATACGGATCGAATCGAGCCGATAGTTCTCCGACCTCGTCATCGTACGCCATCGAAAACGGTGACTGAGTGACTACCGATTTGCCATCTGCGCATTCGTCGAGCCATCCAAGGGCCATTACAATCGGTGGTGAAATGAAATCGCCACGAACGAAACACGAACGGGTTTCATCACAAACTGTCGTTGGTGTCGTAACAACTCTCTGCCTTTAATCAAGACAAATATAAGCGGCATTGCTTTAAGAATCGATCAACGATCGATTCATCGATTAGTCTTTACAGATTTATATACGTACATTGTATTGCGCACATGGTGTTGCGGTGGGACGAAAAACACATCTAACTGACATCGCGCACGCGTTATATCTTATAACTTATTATACAGAAATTTTTGCACATCGTTAACTCGGCGAAGTATACAGTGAGACGGTTCTTTTTTTCTTTTTTCTTTTTTCCTTTTTTTTTTTTTTTTTTTTTCTTTACGAGAATTATTATTTCCGTTTTATTTATCGTCCACGAGAGAGAGAGAGAAAAGTTTAAAACGATGTATGTGTATGTGTGTATGTGTGTATATGTGCGCTTGACGCGATTCGATTCCTCCGAGGTCGGTTTTAACATCGATGGCAAATTCCTCGAATTCCGTTCCCCTTAATTGATAATCGATAATCGGTCACCGATCGAATTCGTGACTCGAGGGCGATGAAATCAGGCTTGAACGGAGTCATCATCCTCCGTAACGGATGTTCTCTCGCGGGCTACGTGGATTATTTCGGTGTATCCCTCCATTGGAAAAGTATTTGCGGCTTAAAGGCGCGATTTGAGCGTTGAATCGATCAAATACAGCGATATATAGATCGGGTGTTCGTTGTTGTTTGGGGTTGAGATGTGGGTTTGTTCGGCAATTGTACGCGAAAAAAACGGTTTCATTCCTCGTCGGACATTTTTTTCTTTCTTTTTTTTCTTTTTCTTTTTTTTGTTCTCGTTGCGAAAATGCATGCTCTGGTTTTTTCCGTTAATGCTAAAATATAATAACATAATCGATAATCGATTAATTGAAGATAAGAAATGATGGAAGGTAGCTAATGGTCGAGATCGAGAAATCTCGAGGAAGCATAATATACGTAAGGAAAGGAAGAATTGGGATAAATGCGTGTGACTATGAAAGCGTGTCGAAGCGAGTAAAAAAAAAAAAGAGAGAGAGAGAAGGAAGAAAGGACAATTGTATAGAGAGACAAAGAGAGAGAGAGAGAAAGAGAGAGAGTATGTTAAACGTACATAGTGAAACGATTTCTACGATATGATACAGACTAAACAGTGTAATATACGTGATGGAACGTAGTAGCAAAAGGCACGAATCTTTATCTTATCATGAATCGACGTATCTCTAAGACGGCTACGATCCTCTCGTTCGATACGAATCTATGATTTCTTTCTTTTTTTTTTTTTCCCCTCCTCTTCGGAATAAATACGAAAGAGAAGCGGAAATAAGAATATCGAGGATCGTAGCAATGTGTATGTGTGTATATGTATGTGTTTGCGTGTATGTAAATGAATCGACGTGCGTTAATCGTGACACGATTCTCGAGTTCTCGGATCGATCATCTTTCTTCAGTCCTCGACTCTTCTACTTTATTTTGTCTCACGCTGCGGGCAATATATCTGAAAAATAAATACGATCTCTCCGTCCAAGGAGGTCGTCCAAGAATCGACGAAATCGACGAAAATCTCGAATCGCTCGAAAACGTCACGTCGATACACTTAACAATCGATCCGCTTCGCCAATCCTCCACCTCCTCCACTTCCTCCTCCTCCTCCTCCCATTCTCAATTACGATCGCGTTTCAATTATATTCCCGTGATAATAGGTGATCAATCAACCAGAAAACCGATGGATCGAACCAGGACGAATCAAACGTCGATCGTCCAATATAACGTTATTATATACGGGAGGAAATGGTTATTCGCGGACAGATTTCCCTAACTAATAATAATCGTAAGATCGCACTCGTATACGTGGCTCGATCGAACCTCCATACAATTACAATCGAAAAAACACGATAAACGAGCTTCGAGAATGGTATCTGGAATCTTTATGCTCTTCGAAAGAGTGAAAAAAAAAA